TCTCTAATATTGTCATCTGTGATTAATCTTTAATTGCGAGCTGAGTTAACTTTTCTGTATCATTCGCAAACTCACATTTAAGTCATTTTGCTGCGTGTGTTTGGTATTCCCTTCAATTGGAGCCTCTGTTAATATTTCAGAAATTTTACATTAATCGCAATATCAGTTTCAAAAAGTTTCTTTTCTAGGATCTGGATTTCCCTTTCATGCTTTTCATTAGAGGCATCTATTTTTTTTCCAATGACTGTGACGATTTATTGGTTAACAGAAATTTCGACATCTTTGAGTCTTCCTCTCAAATTTTTCTCTATAGCCTGAAACTTCCTTTATGCTCTTCAACGGCGGTAATGCGGTCCTTCATGTTCAAAACAGTAGAAGTTGTCTTTTGGCATTTGGTTCAACAGAGTCTACCATTCCTGTGCCCCACCAGCGACAGAGCTGTAAAATCGGTGAATACTGATAGTTTAATCTGCGTTCATATACTGGCGAACGGACTCGCTGTATGGAAATTTTTGGGGTTTTCTTCACGTAAGAGCCAGACAGCCCTTGAATGCTTTAACATTGTCTCACTCCATAAGTTACACTGCCGGTCAATTCAGCATTCGCCGCTACCTCCTCCTAATCTGGCAAGGCATAGGTATTTCAACCATAAACTTTCAAGAGTCTTAAAAATACATAATAATAAAAAACTTAGCTAATAGTATAAAATTAGCTTCTAAAATTGTGTAGATTCATATATAAAACTCTAAAAATTTGACTTCGTAATGCAAAGCTTTTCTGCAATTTTTTTATTTATTTATTTTTTTATTATTATTATTATTTATTTCAAAATGCTATTGCCCAAACCATCATATGATATAGATTATGGGAAGGTTATAAAATAATAAACAATATATATAAAACTATAACTTCCATGTAGCTTTTCATTTGTAATTCTTTTACATTTTATTTCTCACTTCTGTATTACCAATATTTTTATTTCCAATCAATCTGTACTCATACATAAGATTTCTTGCAGGAAGAATAAATGTTGGCTGTTAATGAAACTTAATTTACGAAGGCAGAATAGAGAGAATGACTGAACATGTTTGAAAACTGCGGCTAGAATTTTGAAAATCATCTTATTGTAGGAAGATGCCTGATACTGTACTTGTTTTCCACCTGAGCAAACATAACATGTTTCATTACGTTAATTGCAGGTTAAATGCATATCATTCTTCTTTGTCCAGAAGTACAAAATATATTTTGCATCAGCTACATTTACCACATTGAGTAAAAGTATTGGTTTAAGAATATTAAGGGGACATGTGACATATCGACTGGCGAAATGCAACTATTTCGGGATAAAGGTTATTACGGTATAACTTTTCTCAAAATAAACGTATACTATATTTTTTTTTTCATTTAAAAAAAACAGCTTGTAGATTATATAAAACACATAAAGTGCAAATTTAAAGTTTAATGTTTTTAAAAATCAGTTGTTTAATTTCTCTTACCTTTGACGAATCTTCCGTGACAGTGTGCTAGTTTGGTACACTTTTCTTAAAAAATACTGCATCAAACTGCTTCAAATTTTGCATGATGGTTAACAACATATCATTTAAGAATAATGAGCTGTATTTTACATTTTACTTCAAATGAAAAAATATTAAAAATAAATTAGTAAAATGTTTTGAAAATTATAGAAAAAAAATGGTATTAAATTTTTAATATATCCAAAACTAATGATCATAAATTTTATATCCTGCGTATTTTCAAAGAAATAGCTAAGATAAACCACTGTGGAAAATTTAAACCTTTTAGGCTGAATAGTTTTCAAGAAAAGTGTACCGAAAGTTTAAAAAAAACACGTTTTGAGAAAAACTCAAAAAAACAGTTTAAACACTAAATAATTTATTAAAAAAAAATAATTTTAACATTTTCCTCCACCATAATCATCTTGAACTGGCATTTCTGTATCTAGTTGTTTTTGTTTTATTAACTTGTTTCTTTCTGACCATTTTAGAAAGCTTTTGGTAAGCGAGATGAGCCTCACGAATTCTATCGCAATCTATTATCGCAAAAGCTTTCCCGTATAAAACCCTGGTTGTATTCCCAATAATTCCATCATTTATTGCGACTTTCTACACCATCATTAGAACATATTACCGCATCTAATAAACCTAATTTTAATGTGATGACACTCACAAAAACAGTTTTTGGTATGCGTGTCCAGATGCAATTATTAAAACATTCATTCGGGTTTTGAGTTGTTGTTGTGCACTTGTCTAACGTGTAACAGCACAAAGAGCACCTGTCGTTGGAAACAGCCTTGAACACCTTACAGGTGACAGTGCGATTGGCAACAGCGTTGAGCACCCAATTACAGATAACATTGCGATTTAGCTTACTTCCGACGGTTACCCACCGCTCTTGCTCTAACCACCAACCTCTCGAGAGGCCTTAAGGCTCGTCACATATTTCGAGTGCCTTTATGCCGCACGGACACTATACATTTACGAAACATCAGTGCCTTCTCCAGGATTCGAACTTGGGTCCTTTTGGCTCGGCAGTCAGCGACGCTAACCACTATACCGGTTGGGCGTTGGGTTTGGACTTCTTCCATGAATGCGATTTGGCAGTAGTCTTTTTGTCAGAGAGACTTCTAAAGAAAAGACCTGTTTATTTGCTTCTTCGCAGCTAATAAAAAAGGTTCTAACAAAGAATGTTTATGAACATACATTTTACCAGCTGAAGATGGCATTCATTGTTGCCATTGTTAGCTGACATATGGCCGTTCCTTCTAAACTGGTGGGCTTGCTAGTGGTTGTTTACATTTTTTAATAAAAATAAAAATTTCGGTCTTAAAATTTCTAAACATGGATAAATTATATATTTTTGGAATCGTCTCAGGCTACTTTATTTGTTTAGCCCAAAATTGAAAATTTTTATGTCGTATGTCCCCGAGTAAAAGTATTGGTTAAGAATATGAAATAACATAAGTTTGCTACCAAACTCAAATTTAACTGTAACAGTAATTTGCTTTCTTACTAGGCTATGTATAGTTATTACGCTGATAGTTTTAACTGATGTCATTCTTTTTTAACGCAAGGAATCAATTTTTCCACTTCAAACCATTTTCAGTATTGGAAGATCTTTCTTATCAGAAGCCTTCTTCCTCATCACAGCATCATTTTTCCTTACGTGTAGCAATTATGTCCATAATAGCTTTCAGTTGTGCTTCCATCTTTCTAGTATTGACTATTCAAAGATATTGCCTCTGATAATACCCGTTGTTACGTGTTGCGGATTTCATAAAGATCACCTTAAATAGCCGGGCGGTATGTGGTGGTAAAAGCTGAACATTCATTTAGCTTGAGAATGATAACATTTTCTATAGATGAGAAACAGCTAAAAATAACTCAAGGAAAACAAAGAGCACTTAGCAAAGATGAACATCGCAAATTATACAGAGCTTACACAGCAAAGATTAAAACCACTCAGTAGTAAAGTCGATAGCACATCAGACCGAATCTTAACTAGCTCGAGCTTCTCACAACCTCCTATTTATACCATAGCTCAAGGGAAAGATGGCACTGCCGGACTTCTAGGAAATTCTATCTAAAAGTCAAAAGAGTGTTATATAGAACCTTAAAAATGTATCATAATTTCAAGAAATCTGCAGACATCTCATATTTTGGGAGAGTAAAATGTTGTCGCCACGGCTTGGTTGAAATCAAAAGCTGTGGTTCTAAGCTATTTTCATGGTTCCAACCCTTATTTACTTCGAGATGTAAGTACTACAAAATAAAAGAATTAAAATATTGGCTACATACAATAAAGGGCCACAAATTAAAGATTACACGAAGGGCACAGTAAATAAATATAAAATTATCATAACAAGCATAAATAAACAAGCAAAAACAAATCACAATAACACAAAATACAGGTAATGCATTTTCTCCCTCCTTACCGCGTGCCTTCTTGATGTAATTAGAAAGAACGTACGGCTAGCAATCAAAAGGTCTGGAGTTCGAGTCCCAGGGACGGCACTGCATATTTTTCACGTCTCTTGCTCTTAAATAAATGCCTAATTGTCTCTGTACAGTATACAACAAAATGCATGCAAAAAACATGAATACTTACAATAAATTTCAATGGTACTTTAAATACATATTTTTTTAATTTAACTCATAAAGCTGATTTAAATGCACACTTGTCGATTTATACTGTTGAGTTCGTTTAATCCGTTGTGGCAATGCCCGCAAGGACTGTTTGCGTAAAGAAAGAGATGAATTCCCGGAGAATTTCTTAGTAGAAACGTACTCTTATTCATGATACACAGATGGAAAACAACTGCAGTTTGTGAATGCCTATACAGCTACCATTCCTCAGAATTTGATTTACAGTGAATATTCAGTGAATTGAGAATCTAACGTCAACTGTGAGTAATTTGCAGTACAATCGAAAAAGGAAAAAAAAAAAGAAAAAAAGAAAAGAAAACTTGCGTGAATCCGGTTTCAGCCTAGGTTTTTAAACTAACCCATGATAAGGCTATTATCGTAAGCAGTCGTACGGATTAATCACTGTTATAAGAAAAAAAATCATGATTGTCAATGGCAGAATAGTATGTGTGAAATTTTCAGTTTCCTAAATGATCAAGTAATGACAGTAAATTCTTCAACATGCTTAGTTTTATAATGTAGTTTTTTCTGCAAAAAATTCCTAATAAAAGTATAGTGTGTTTTGCACTACAATCTTAAGCACATAAAATAAACATCAAATTTTCAAAATAGTTTGCTTTACAATTTCACTGTTTTAATATAAGCGAAATATTTTGAAAAAATATCAGAATTGTGCAAATTTCAGAGCAGTATACTTCTACCTGATGTTTCCTATATCCTTCTGAGTCAGTTTATGTAATGCTTATAAAATTATTGAAGATTATTTAGTTAAGAGATGTATTTTCATTCGCTTAACCGCAGAAAAAGAGCAAATAACTAACAGAAACCGAAACTGTATGCATGTAAATAAAATTTTTCTTTTTTTATTGAAATATCTAAAGTATTGTAGAAAATATATTCAGATATTTTATATTTACATCCATTTCCAAAATGTAATCACAGTGAAATGAAATAAAAATAAGTGCCCTGAGATTTACTATTTACAGCTCCTCGTATGCATCGGCGTGTCAAACTGAACTTATATATATATATATATATATATGTAATTATGCATAAATTAGTTTATGCTTCAGCAGAAGTAAGTAGTTTTCTCATGCATTTAAATCTTGCAAAAACTATTTAAAGATATATATATTCATCATAATAGTATCACATTGTCAGTAAAAGTATGAAGTCTTTCAATTTCCAGTGCTGCATATAACACAGCATTACATAATGAATGCAACTTTTCACATTTATCTTTTTCCCCACAAAGTAACATAATCATTAACTCATTTTCAGTTTATTTATGGTTTGGTTTTATTCCCGTCACAAAGATGACGAAACTCTCTTTCAATCATCGATTTGGTCATTCAAATAACATCCACGTATAAAATTTTATGAATTTGTTTTTCGTTCTATAGCTGAAGATCTTTGCAACTGTGAAGTTTGATTTTTGAACATGCAATAAATGTCAGAGTGTTTTGTTTATTTTCAGTCACTGATAGGGAAAATGATATATGCACTAAATATTTTAAAATTTTCTTCTCAATTTTATTCTAAATGCTGGAAAAATCTTATCACCTAAGAATTACCTTTAAAAAAAAAAAAAAAAAAAAATTGTTCTTGAAGGGAATTTTTAAATGTACTATACTTACACCACTTTCATCTACGTTTTTGTGGTTCTTGTTACTATATCACTCTAACTGTGTATGTCCTAACAGATTCTTCATTTATCAAAGTACTCCAGCAGACATTTGATATTACTGTACGAAATTCACGCTCCATATTGCATGGGTGCATTACTTGTTTGAATACTTCTGACTTCACTGTCATGATCGCTTTCAGGATAATTTTTTAGGAAATTTTCATATCGTCTACCTTCCCAGAACATCATAAAAGTCCACTTTAAAGCGAGAAGAGCGAAAACGCCTGCTGGAGCATAACCATCATCTTCTATTTTATATCCTAAAAGATAAGAATTGCTTCTGTGAAAAAAAAGAATAAGAAAAAATGTTGATATTCATTGCTTAAACAGCAAAAACAATTTTACAGAGATTTATTCCAAAAATTTAAATTTTACCCATAATATTTTGTTAGAATTATTAAATTATTATTATTATTCATATCTGCTGTCTCTAATGCTTCTATAATAGGGAATGCTATAGGAAGCCTCTACAAGTATGCAGACATAGTATATCTTACGTTTATATAATGAAGGATATTATGCATGAGACCTTTTCAAGTATAGATAACAAAATATGTTGTAGTAGGCGTATGTTTTAATTTTAAACGTATTTCCATTTTTCCCCTTAGTATTTCAACGTATTTGTTGCTGGTACATTTTTGTAATTTTTTTTCTTTCTAGTAAATCATTGCATTTAGCTTCCTCGAAGTCTTTAAAAGCGTTTCAGTTGTTTAATATGTCTTATTCTTAAACCAATGTAAATGCTGACTTTCTTTGACACTTATTTTGAGAATTTTTGCACTTTGTTTGCGAATGTCTTTTAACAATGGCATTTGCAAACAAAATAAAAAAAAAATTATGAAATGAATAATTTGCCTCTCCTCAAATTTGGGATCCCTTGTCTTAAAAGACACGGGAAATAGTTACTGATTTTTTAAACTATTAATTACCTAGTGGCTCATTGGAACGCAAAACACGCGATTTGCATGACACAATAAATTCGCTTCTGAAATTTAACACGGACTTCACTTTTCTTATGGTTTCACGTACTTTTTTTTCTCAAGATTTTAACCTTAATTTTGTTTGTCATTCGACATTGCTGGATTATATTACAGGGCTGCTTATTGACTCGTATTAAATCAACAAAATTTTGTATGTTTGTTATCAATGACCGTGAAAAAAGATTCTTTGTCAAGTGCAACAGATTTCAGAAAGGTCTAAAAAAGGTCTTTTTTCAGGTCTTAAAGAAGACATTTTTTTTGTTTTGCAGAGTAAAATAGTTTAGTATGGGGAAGCAGAAAAGCATAAAAATGTTTATGGATTATCTTAATTATTTCCTAATTAAGAGGAATTATCAGATTTAGTTTTCAAAAATGTGTGTGTGTGTGTGTGATTATGGCAAAGCCTCGAGGGCTATCTTTCAAAAATGAACAGAATGGCTAGATCAATCGGATTCGCAGCAGATAAATCCTTGATTAAATCTTCTTTATTATGTCAAAAAGTGCGAATGTGTCATCAGCGTAGCGAATCCACAGCCGAAAAGACAGCATCTCAAATAATTTCATCTCAAAAACGTAAATGCCAGCAAGTAATTGGACTGAGGGGAGTACTTATATCTAATACTTCGGTTTGAAAATAGTTATTAATTTAGAAATAAGTGGATCAGACTCAAGGAATCTTTAGTTACAGAAATTAACTCCTCAGTTTTAGCATGTGTGAAATGGAATTCTCAAAGTCCGATTCCAGTCATCTTAGCAAATTCTGTAGCCTATTTCTTGTGTAACTAACTTAGTGGAGGAATCTAATGATCACGAATGAATGTAAAAGAAAGTGTATTTGATTCTCAAAATCAGGTTTCCTTTTTTTTTTTTTTTTTTGTTAGGAATGCCATATCTCTTTGCAACATTATAACTGATTGCATTTAGCCTTTTATGTAGTTTTTTATTTTAATTTTTTAATTTTCAGTGGTAAATATTTAAACTTAAGTGGCAGCTGGCAGCATTTTCATATTAAAATCATCTTTTAACCAAAGTCAAAGAACGATAAAAAGAAAAGCACAATTACGCATACAACAAAATAAAAATACAGTCTGAAGTTACACTTGCCAATTAAAAGCTACTGGCTGTGGAAACAACAGGAAAAACTAAATCTTTATTCCAAAGTCTTTATGACACCTGATAAGACTCTGTTTTATGACCCTGTTTTAATGAATAACCTTCTGCTCTCATATTATTCAAAATTCTTCGAAAATGTTAAAAGCAATTTATTTGGAAGTAAAATGAATTTATGTTGTTTTAAGCGAGTATCTGTAATGCGATATAGAGAAATTATCTTTTCCTCCGTTGCATTATTAGACCATGGACCATTAAGATAGTGCATGCACCTACGCATACACTATCTTAGTTTATACATAAGGACTAAACATAATCTTAACTCAAGTTGAGTTACCTGGATCTTCAGTTTACTCAAGTGTTAAAATAGCGAAGCATCGTCGGGCAAGATAACCTTTACATATAAATACTGTGATTTATACACAAATAAAAATACTGTGATTACACATAAATACTGTGTATTATAGGCAAGATAACCTTTACATATAAATACTGTGATTTGGAAAATTGTTTCCGTGTAAGTATTGAATTCGCATTTTTAATTAAGTCCGTTCTCTGAAATTTGACTGAATTAAGCTTTGTTATTCGTCCTTTTTATTTCAGCATAATTTGAGAACTCCCTTATTTTAAGTAAGTTCCCTCCTCTAACTTTCCTTAAATATTTCTGAAAACCTTTACATTCCGGCTTATATAAACAGGTAGCATTTTTAATTATATTAACGAAAACTACCATGACATAACGGGAGTTCAAGGAAGGTGTCTTTATTTTTAAAAAAAGAAAAAAAGTGTTCAGATAAAAGGCTTATCTGCTTAAAGAAACGAACGTCCTTAACATTACTGCAAGGACGCTTGTTTTGTGAAAACTTAAATTCATTACAATAATTCATATTTAAAAGTGAATAAAAATATTTACAATATGAACTTTGCAAAGCAGAACACACACAAAATCTTTATCATTAAAATATTTTACCTTGCTTTAACACTGCGGCTAAAGTGAAGTAGGTTATGGAAGACAATATAGCTAAGAGGCTGCAAAGTATCCCACATATTTTCGTTATCCTTAGAGTCTCTGCTGTATATTTCAGATGCATGGTATTGTTCAAATATGACCGATGTAAACTGTAAACAACGGATGCAAATATACCTAAGAATAAATGAACGACATTAATTTATCATTTTCAATATTTTTTGTTTCATTTGAGCTTGTATTTTTATTCTGCAAAGGAAATCTGCATTATTAATTTTCCAAAATACTATAAGATATTTCTCCCACTTCTTATCGTGCCTTCGTGGTGTGGTGGTCTGCACGGTTTGCCGATATTCCACAGTCCATGGTTCGATTCCCGGTGAAGGCCTTGCTAGTTTTTCAGTTCCCCTGCTTCCAAAAAAAAAAAAAAAAAAAAAAATATGTCTCTACGTGGTGCCCGAACTAAAAGAGTGTTGGATGATGATTCTCCTCACTCAGGATTCGGCGATTAGGTCCCCAAAAACACCAGTCGCCCTTTAAAAGGGGGAGTATATAAGGTATTTCTCTCGCCTTCGTGGTGTGATGGTCTGCACGCTGGGCCGGTATTCCAGAGGTCCGTGGTTCGATTCCCGGCGAAGGCGTTGCTAATTTTTCAATATCCCCTGCGGTACTTACGTATTAACGCAACCAGGCCAAAATTCGCATAAATCGCCAAATTTGGCGACCCTACGTGTTATACGTAGTTAACTAAAGAATTATTTTTCTAGTGGTTAGATTGAATGCCTGAAATACTTTAAACTATGGGTATTTGGGATCTGCCTGCGAGTGAAAAAGAAGATGCTGTTGAATTGTTCAGGATATGGAATTATACCGAACGAACGTTCTTGTAAAAATTCATAAAATGAAACTGTATTTTGGAAGCCAAACTTCTGGAAATGTAACGTCGAAGAGTGCAATCAACATTGGGGTGTGAGAACCGGAAATTGGTTTGAAGGTAGTCGAATTTCATTTGTGACAGCGGTGTGCTTCATTTATTGTTGGTGTAAAGAGTAACCTCATTAAATTTTGTGCAGAAAAAAGAGGGGAATTGCTGACAAAAAATGTGATAGTTTGGAATAATACAATGGCGAAGACGGTTTTTCAATCAGTGCTAAAGCAATAGCCAAAAGATTTCCGCCGAAGCCGAAAAAATTCTCTGCAACTTATTCAAATTCGAAACCGGAAAAGGGGTTTAATTGCTATTGATATTTTAAAACAAAAAATATAAAAAACTGTATTAAAAATATCTGTAAGTAATAAATGTACATTTTCTTTCTATTCATACTTTTTTACCAAATTACAAATCGCGCCAACCGGTGCGATAATACGTAAGTACCTTCTGCTGCAAAAAAAAAAAAAAAAAAAAAAAAAAAAAAAAAAAAAAAAAAAAAAAAAAAAAAAAAAAAAAAAAAAAAAAAAAAAAAAAAAAAAAAAAAAAAAAAAAAAAAAAAAAAAAAAAAAAACAAAAAAAAAAAAAAAAAAAAAAAAAAAAAAAAAAAAAAACCCTAACGTCTCTACGATACTAAAAGAGAGTATATATTATTTCTTATTTTTCTCTAAACTATGATACACTTGTAATCATTTCTCATCTGTCTATAATGTTCATAAAGGGTTTGGAAAAAACATTGCGATACTAAAAAATAACATTCGCAATGCCTGTAACCTTACGATTAGGATCTTTTCAGTCTGAAACAATAAGAGAGCGATGCACAGCAAATCTGAAAACGACTAGATGGCTCAGCAAATTGTAAAGAAACAAAAAGTACAAAAGCTAACCGTAAATAAAGTTTTTGATCAAAATAGATTATTTATTTACCAATTATACATAGCAATAAAATCTAAAGAAAATTATACAAAAATGGAGAATATTAGAAATTTTAGAAGAGGAAGGAAAAAAGAACTTGCTACATCGGTGTAAACATTAGGTGTTAGCTTCAGTAATAAATGAAATCTATAAATGACGCTTGCTCTTATTTAGCTAAAAGTATACGAATTAATTGAAGTACATAAAATTCTGCTTTAGATTCTATCATCTTCCAACGAAAAATAGGAATTTAAAAGATTGTTATTTTTAAAAAGTGCAATAAATTGACAACGTCAAATGACGAAAAATTAGTCGACCTAACGGTTTAATTCGAGATTTCCATAAAATAAGTAATATTATGACAAAAAGAAAAATTATTATGTGGTCGACATATGACCTCCTAATTTCATGTTAAGGGATGGAACTGACAGAATAGCAGTGAACTCTAAGTAAACTATCACTTCCTGTTGATCTTTTTTAAATAAAATCTGTTTACAAACTCTTTGGCTCAATTTTAAATTATAAATACTATTCGTTTTTTTATTATTTCATTTTCCCATGCAATGGAAAATTATAACTATAAGTGCTTATATACACAGCAATTCTCATGCTTTGATTTGAAAATATCGTATCGATCATAAATATATAGTTATACATATTATAAACTATGTATATAGTGAAAGTATATAATGTATATTATATACATAGACGTTCTTTGGGTCATTTTTGGTGTTGGCGATAATTTTCAAAATCGCGCCAAGGCTGCACCGTATACTAGGATTTTACCATGTTATTTTATGGTTTGGTTTAAAATTTTTTTTTTTTTTTTTTTTTTTTTTTTTTTTTTTTTTTTTTTTATTTTTTTTTTTTTTTTTTTTTTTTTTTTTTTTTTTTTTATATTATTAGAACTTTTTTGTTTGCGAATTTTGCCTTTTTTTTAAGTGAAAATATATCGATGTGTCATGGACAAAGTAAAGGGAGTGGCGCAATGCAAGTTTGTGCTATTCTGGAATTTTTTTAAGTGAAAATAGGTCGACGTGTACATGGATAAAATTAAAGGTGTGCGCAATGCCATTTTTGTGCAATTCGGGGAATTTTTTTTTTTTTTTTTTTTTTTTTTTTTTAAGTGAAAATAAGTCGAGTGTACATGGATACAGAGTTTGTGCAATTGTTTGTCTTGTTATTTTAGCTTTGTGTAGGGGCCAAAATAACCAGTCAAAGAACTGCACAAAATCGGTATCCATGTACCGCCAAATTTCGCCAAGGGGTACCCTAAACTATACTTTTACCGGAATTCTTTTTATTATCTATTTCATATTTTCTAAAACTTTTAACGAATTTTTTGTTAACAAACTCAACGATTTCAAAGCGAGCAGTGGCATCATTGTACAAAAAAAAAAAAAAAAAAAAAAAAAAATCTCCAGCGCGCGAAACTGTGTATCAGAAGTTCTAAAGATATGCTCTTTTTAAATAATTCAGTGATATTGCTTTTGAAATGAATTTTGATTTATGTGCGAAGAACATGACATGTAATAAATAAAGGTAACAAGCAAAACGTTTAAAAACGCCCCTTTGGGTGGAATATAAAATCTGAAGGCTTTCAGATTTTTTCCTAATTAGTTATTTTTTAATTTTTAATTTATTTTTATTTACTTATATATATATTCTCATTCCTGTTGAAAATTCTGCCTGTTTCCTTACATAATATAGTTTAATTTCCATTAATTATTGCGGCCAAAATTTAATGCCCCATTTGGTGTCATAATCAATGTAATAGTTAAGAAACTTAGTTAAGAAACAAAAGTTTCGACGGTTCATATCTTGGGTTAATGAAACCTTCGATGACCTCAGAAGCGAAAAAAAAAACTAGCTAGGTTTAGAATATCAACAACGAAAGCATTATACCGATTAGGCAGATAGTTCTTGCAATATTAACAACAAACAAGCAGCGGAATGTCATACTGGGCTGAAGATATTAAGTAACAGCATGATAACTAAAACTGACTATTTCTGAAATATTGAAATTCTTAGAGATTTCTGAAAAGAAAAGTATTCAGAAGACTGCAGCAAAACAATAAACGAAAGAATTTATCTACAATTTATAGGTAATACAATTTGCGCATGCATAGATTCTCTGAAATGATAAACTGCGAGATGCAAGATATGCTGTTTATGCACAAGAATAAACCGTCAAAATAAATTATTAAAATATTCCAAATTGAAAGTATGCTGATGATTTGTAAATCTACTTAAACGACAAGTGTTAAGCTCATAAAATTTTTCAAATATATTAATCTTACTTAACATATATTTCATCAATCGACAAAAACAGAAGGTTTTCCTGTCAGAGATAATAATAAATTCTCATATTTAATTCATAAATAAAGTTATGAATTACAGTCTCAAAAGATTTGAATGTTTAAAAAGGCCTAATGTTTTTTATTAGATTCAAATTTATTCAATGATTCGATAATTTCCAGTTATGAAAGAAAATAAATTGATGATAACGGGAAGAAAGAAAATATGCTCATACCAGTTAACAGGCCCCAAGCTGCAGCATTAGCGTTCTTATAGTAGATGAAGCAAATTAAAATAGATACTCCGGCTACAATACCAAGTATTGCAAAAATAGCTTTCAGTTTTATGCAGCGCCGTCGTTGTTCCATTGAATCGTAGTATTTCGCCAGTAGCACGAGGAAACGAGACTAGAAAGAACGGAGTCGACTTCACAGATGAATACTTTGAGACTGCATTGTGAAGGCGGCGTTTCGCTGATAATTTCAGCAGTGATAAAACCTGTTTTCCATTCGCATGTAGTGAAGTTTTCAACAGCAGTCTGTCGATACAGCTGTAGCGGTTAGGGGTGTGTTGAAGTATTAATTACGTTACATTCTGCGGGTGAAATGTCCGAGATAAAATGAAAGTAATCAAAAGCCTGATTTTAGATAAAACATATTATAATCAATTACTAAAACTTATTCCAGTTATCTTTAGCACTGGATATAAGATTCACTTGCTGCTAAAAATTCCGTAAAAATATGAAATTTCTCATTTCATACGCAAAAATCTCCCATCAGTAAATAATCTAAAATTAAAAAAAAAGGGGGGAGAGGTTTAATTGAATTAAATAAATCAACGCGCGAGAGAGGTATATTTGCCTAAAAGCATTCTTCGTTTAATTGTCTAATTAAATATGGCGAAACGCACGAGGACTACCTGCCTAAAGGGAATGTTTTCATTGTGGACTACTTTTTAAGAAAAACTGGTTCGTATTTACAATCTACGAAAATCCTGTAACTAGTCCATTCGCTCAACGGAAATTAATTCCGGAACGAATTACCTGTGTTTTGGAGCTTTAGCTATTCAACCTCTGTAAGACGAAAGCCTTAGTACGTGCAGCAAAGCACGTGAGAGCTATCTGTATAATGACAGTGTTGCTTCTTGAAGGACTTGTTAAAGGGAACCGGCTCATATTCAAGTTACATATGGGAAAAACCAACAAGTCAACAAACAAGGCCAGGCTATTCCCAACGTTGAAGTCATTTACGGAAGTAGGTTTGGATTGGATTGGATTATTCAATTATGGCAAAGCACACGAGGGCTATCCTAAAGGGAGGGATGCCTTCGTGAAGGACTGACTCGTATACACGTTACACATGGAGAAAACCACGAAAAGGCCCATGAAGCCAGCCCGTTGGCGGGATTCGAGCCTCGGACCGAACTACCAGTGTTCAGCGTCTTTACCGCTCGGCGGCTGGTGGGCTCTATCGGAAGTAGGAGAAACAAAAACACAAAAAAGTAGAGCAAAAATCTTTTGAGCAGACTAGGAGTCGGGTTTCACAACAGTAAACTCTATAGTATACTAACATTGGAAAAAACCACAAGAACTCCCCTGCAGCCGGTCCGTTTGCCGGGATTTGAAACCGGTTCGAACTACCAGTGTTCAGTGATTTTACCGCTCGGTCACTCGTAGACCCTCGCTCTACTACCGATTTCGACTGAGAAGACGTGTACAAGAATCATTTGAAAATATTATTAAGAACCCTACTACCGATTTCGACAGAAAGGCTTCATTAATAAATGATCTCATACAGGGGTTCCCAACATTACGCCCGCGGGCACCATGGCGTCTGCCGACCATTTAACGTTTGCCCGCCTCTGTGCGATCACAATAAAAGTGTTTTAGTTTTCAATAAAATTCTACGTGAAAGTTTTCTCATTTTTAATGAAATAGAAATTGCGTCCAAACCAGATACCGCACAAAACGAAATGCAGCCGATCTCTTTTGTTATGTGCATCTATTATTAACTATGTCCAACTATAAATTCACCTTGATAAAGCAAATGATGCCAGCCGTACAACAGATATTCCAGAATGTGCTCTTAGGGATAAAAAGGTTGGGAAGTCCTGATTTAATATTACAGTGATGCTGCCCAAAATACTGGATGAAATAGTGCTGTAGAATCTAATAATAAGAAAATAAGCGGAATTCATTTCGCAATTTTTTTTACCAGTAAATCAAATTATATAATTTACAAATTAGTTATGCTAGATTTTTCTCCCCCCCTTCATTATTCTTAAATCAGCAAGTATAAATTAGTTGGTATTAGTATCTTTTGTGTAAATTAAATTAAGAATAATTTAAATTTCTGCTGTAGTTGTAAGATAACTACTGAAGCGATAGAACTCATCGTGTAAAAGTTTAAGCGATTTCAACTAATATCATATAAAAGTTTGAAAATGAAAAAAAAAAAAAAAAAAAAGATCGAAAAGCTTAAGTGCAGCAACACACGGTTAATTCATTTATTTACGAACACAAAAACAAATTTTCTGTGTATAATTATAAGTAATTTATCGCAACTACTGTACTCTTCTTTTACAAGGTGGTATGATTCTATACAATAACGGTTCAACTAAGGATTGGCTACAATAACTAGAGGTTCAACTAAGGATTGGCTGCAAGGAATTTTACTTGTTATCTCGATGCGTAATGTGAATATAAGCTAGTTTATTTTAGAAAGTCTTCCACGAAGGCATCCCTCCCCTTAGGCAGATATCTTTCGAGTGCTTTGCCATAAACAATTAAACCAAATCAAAAAATCCTAACCCTGTACAAGATCAAGAGGCGCCCAAAAAGTATACTTAATTACAAATGTTATTTGTTTCCAATGAAGTATTTCTAAACACAAGTTATGTTTAGAAGCATCTGAAATTCTCTTATATTCTTAAGGTCTAAGAAAAGATTTTATGCTTCGTGTCCAAAGCCTAAAAACGAAGACTGCAATCTCATCTTCGTATTCGTGTTTTAGTTTAACGCCAGGAACAATTTCAGTGTCAAGCGATAAGAGCACAAAACTTGCGATAGTATTGTTTCACCTTAGCTTAAACCCATGTTTTGGCATTTGCACTTCTTTAATAACAATAATAATAATAACAATAATAAAACATAGCTGCGAATTTTTCTCACGGAATCGTTTTTGCACAAGGCTTGCAGCAAATATTTCTCGAAAAGGAAAAGACAAACATTTTTATTCTATCAGGATACGAAATGCACATAGAAACAACCATAACACCTCAGATTTCAGGTCTTCAAAAATGAAAATTGTTTACTTATAGCGAAACGTAATGTTTTATTTTATGTAATTTATTGAAAAACTATGTGAATTTAAAAACTGAAACGATGTTTTGAAAAGTATAATTTGACTTGCAGAATTTGTAGAAATAATACTTATATAAAAAAACGCAGTAGGGTCTATTTACCTTACTACCATTAATAAAAAAAAAAAAAAAAAAAAAAAAATGTCGCTTTACATTTCCTAATCATCTTTAGAAAATATCACGCACAGCTTTTCCAAACTGCATTTTATGCACAGTTTCTTGTTACGGGAATATATTGAGTCGCAATAGAAAGTCCCCCCCCCCGGAAGGTGACTTGATTTTTAATTTATCTTAATCTAAGGAAAGATAAGAGTAAGAAATTGTGATTACTGGTATAATACAGTTTCTGAAGCTATAACCTTAGTTGTCACATACTGTAAAAATAATTCTTCAGTTTTAGTTATAATGCAAACTTGAATTTTCTTAAAATATTTTCTTTCGAAGTTCATATTTTCTCATCATCACCTTCGAGATATACTCATGCAATAAACATTTCTAAACAGAAGTAGCTCAAGCGAAATATTTCCCATCATCACTTTCATCAGACAAACAAGATATACTCATCCAATAAATATATCTAAACAGAAGTAGCACAAGCGAAATATTTCCAGAGAAATCAACACTAAGAAAATTCCTGTCTACAAAACCATTGTAATAACAAATTATCATGATTAAAAACTTGCGAGTGGCAAAAGCACGCATAATAAGCAGAAAAAAGTAACGGCTGGGGCTCATTTTGTCTTCTTCAAAACTGGGCAATGATTTCCTGAGATGTCTGAACATTTCTGTGCAAATATATTTGTTTCATTAAAAGCTGCAGTTAGGAATGGGAAAAATTATGAAGAGTATTCTGAAAATATTGCGGGAAATACTTCGCTAATAGTTCGTATTTCGACATTATTTAATGCACCTGACCAGATAGTCCAATTAAAAATCTTCAGGTGATTTAATATCACTGCCCATTTTACAAGAACGAAAACATAGCTGGAATAGAAACCTAGAAATTCTTTCACAAATCAAATGTTTTGCCAACATCGCATTGCATCAAACATATATCTAGAAAATATGATTATTATTTTTTTTTATTATTATTATTCCAAACAATTAACTCTCTTAGTTGAATTTTCCCATCTGCTCACTTATTTCAGAAATCCACCTTCGAAGCACAACCCCCCACGGTTCCAAGTGATTTTGATCTTCCGTAATAGTAGTTATCTTAGAGAGCTATTGCTGATGTTCAATAACAATGTTAATTTAATATTCTCTAAAATACCACCCACTTTTAAAAACGGTTGCCATGCCAAGTTTTGTTGTATCTATTCTCGAATTTGTTGTATCTACTCTCGAATGTATTGCTAAGATTGTTGCGAGTAAGCGGAATTGAGTTATAAATGTTACAGATTTGAAAGAAACGTAGCACTCGAGGGCTATCTGCTTAAGGGAGGGACGCCTTCGTGGAGGAATTTCTAAGAGAAACTAGCTCGTGTCGACGTTACGCATGGGAAAAGCCATGAAAGCGTCCATACAGTCAGCTTGTTCGCGTGGAATCGAACCCAGGTCGAACTACCATTGTTCAGAGACTTAGGAAACGGGGTTGATTTGCTCGTGAAAAAATTCTCGTTTCATTTCGCTCAAATTCACATTTATACTTGGGCTATTTAATTTTTTTTTGTTGCTATTTTTCATAACTTCAGATATTTAAAATGCGTCACAATAATTTGTTATCAGATGTGTAACCTTGATCGAAATATTTTCTTTCAAAAGATCTTCCCTCCACGTGTTTATATTTCATAATATTTTCAACAGATGGTACATTTAAAATTCTTCAGATGATTAAATGTCATTGGACGGAAATACAGCTAGAATATAAATCGCAGAATTAATTCATTAACCACGCTTTTGTAGACCGAGCTCCCTAAAATGTGCCAAGTAGAAAAAATGATTGATGAATGCATTTCTCATACCTCCCCTCTCCTCAGAAAAAGTCTTTATGACCTAAAGGCCTTTACCATTTACAGATCAGTAACAAAAATAAGAGTTTTAAAGAGATTAAATTTATAAAACTGTCATTAATATTTTTGCAATTTAGCATTCAGTTCAGCAATTACAGGGTGTAAGTCAGTGATAAGATTCAGTTCGCACCGGTTAGTCAACCAAGTTGTT